GAATTGAATAAAATAAACATTTTAAAAATAAGATAAATGTTGCTGCAAATTTTTCTAACAATTGTGAAAACTGTTATTCAAATAATGTATCTTAGTCTTACCCATGAAATATTTATATCAGACATTTAGTATCATCAAACTTTCATCGTGTGTCATTGTGAGCATTGAGATAACATTATTTGTGTACGGTTGATAATTTTGTAACCAAAGGCCATATTTGAAATTAAACCAAAAATTTTCGAGGTAAATCCTGTAAAAGTTTCAATTCTAAAGATTTCTTTCTCAAAATTTGAAATCTTGAAATATGTATTTCTTGAAAAATGTAGCAAAACTATTGACTAATAAAAAAAATTGACTACTTGTCCTCCTTTATCACTCGATCGCCAAACATCCCTGAACGACAGCCTACCAAATTTCGATTAGATTCCAACAAATTCAGCATCGATTGAATCTTTCTGAAATGTCCATCGAGTGGTCGCGAGGAAATATAATGTCCAAGAAGAAAAGTAGCTTCGGTTCGTTCGATCCGGTAATATCCGGTGTTCATTCGACCCAGAAATTTCCAACTTCGCGGGAGAAAAAAAAAGAGAGGATCAAGGAGGGGGCGGACCATCTTCTTCCAAGGCTTCGAGGCGGCACAATGGTCATAGAAGGTCGGTCCATTCAAGGGGTGAAATAACGGCCAGCGCGATTTCCAATCTTTGTGTCCGAAAATCGTGCTTGATCCCTCGCAAGCCGAAGGAACCTGGGAAACTTCTCGTCTTCCGCCCCCCTGAGGATGAAAAGAAGGCGAAGTCGGAGACGGCCGTTCGGATTACAAGGCAAAATACGTCGGAACGGAAATCCTTTAATCCTTTAATACCGATTTTCATCGCCAACTGTCTGGCGTGTCGTTTCACCTCGACACGACGGATGGAACAGAAGACTGTTACCAGGCGAGTGTTCGCTACGTTAATATACAGTGTCCAGGAAAATAACATAATCATGGACGAGAAATGTCATGGTTTGGAGGTGGTCATCAGATGACGTGTGTTTAAGCATCTTCTTCAAGAGACTCAATTATTATTATATCAGTACTTCCTCACATTGAATGACGAAAGGATTTAATCTATCCAAAAAAGATATGTATTCTCGTTTAAAGAAACATTGCAATTATCGATAGCACATGCACCATTGTATTAATAAAAACAATGAAATTCAGCAAATGTAGTCCTTTCCAACAATCCTTAATCGAAACTCGGAACGCTATTTAGATAGGGTAGATGATACTGACTCGTATAAAAAAATATTTCAAGAGTGGCTCGAAGGGTGTGCGTGTGTTTTCCCAAAGATGGAGGAGCGTTGGAAATTTCGCGGTTAACAGCGATGTTTTCTCGGTTGCTGTTTTGCCTGGCGCTATTTACCAGGTCCCACCCCGGCGAGAATAAACCTCCCCGGAGAGGATAAAGACGGTGGTTAAGCTGCCGCGTTGCGAAGAAGTCGGGAAGTGAGCTCGATGGCGCAACCAGCGGCGACGGAGGGCAGAGCGGAGGAAATAGGGCCGTAGAAACACGCCAGAGAAATAGATTATAGCCCGCGGGTGTGAGAGGAACTCCGTTATTCCTCGAGGAAGAGAGATTACAAGATGTATCATCGCTGAGCCTTGCCAGCATTTTATGGGGGATGTAACCGCCGCTGTAATCGAGTTCTTAACGCGGTGTAATAACACCGATTCATGCGAGGTTTGGGCAGCCTAGGTAAAATCTACAAGGAAACATCGTGGAAACCTCGAAATCAATAAGTGACTTTCCTTGTGTTCCTGTGAAGTATTTTTGATACTATGGGACCTCTTTTATTCAGATGCGTCTTAAAGTCAGGAAACATCTACTCAGATCCACGATTTTATTTACCTCTTCGAGAATTATTTTTAGACGACTCTATAGTTGAATACGTTCGTTTTATTTGTTTCAATGATATACTATTTTTAAGGTTTTGCAATTCTTTTTTACATTCCGCAGCACTTCAAATTAATCGTAGAATTTGTTAGTTGAACTCGAGGAAGTAACAGAGGAGAGTAATTTGTATTTTTAATTAAAAATTGTAATTTGTCTTCAATATTTCCCTTCTCCTTCATAATATTATTTTTTCTAAATGTAATAATACATAACCTTAATGGCCAATTATCGAAGATACTATAAAACCGTATTTATAACTTGGCTGTAGTTACGGAACGACCGAAACCCAATATCATAATTTAATTTCGTTAACTATCGTCGTTCCACGTCCAACACTCCGCAGAGAAATGAAATTTTCGCTGAAATTCTATTTTCGCCAGCTTCGAACGATACATCGAACAACATTCGCTCGATTCGACAAGCTGTTCGTGTTGTCTGATGATGATTTACGGCCTCTAATATTTAAACTTTGTTCCGTTAGTTTTGTAACAGCGATGAACGGTCCCGAGTCGCCGTTAGTCGGATGTTATCGGAACTGCCTGTGGCTTGGCTTGTAATTTTTTCACGAATTTTCAGCGACGTTGTGTATTTTTTTCCGAGCTGCAAAGTAAATATCCACGGTAAATACTGGCGGATCTGGCACAGGAAAAAACAAAACAGAGAGCGATCGCGAAAATGTAAACCGAAAAGGTTACTCAAACCATGAGATATTTGTTTTCCTCTCGAAAAAAAGACCTGCATCAAGTAATTGAATATTCTACGTATATGGACTTGGATTTTGTCCTCCACAAAATTGATGTAAACATGATGCAGAAACGATAGCAACGTATTGAAAGTAAAATTTACTTCTCACGAATAGAGGAAATCAATTCGCTCTCTAAATCCTGCGTGACATGCATGACTCTGATGTCGCATACCGATTATCTTCATTTTCAAGGTGCAATTTCTTTATAATATCCAGATGTATTCATTACAGTATTGAACTCCTCCTTCTACATTTTCAGTTGCCATAAATGCATAAACATTCGCAGTCTACTTGTTACTGTTCGATGTACCTATTTAAGAAATCCCATTTCTATACTATTCCATTCGTTAAAATACGGTTTCTCCAGGAAACGTCGACGGTTTCACAGCAACATCCTATCCCCGAGTGAAACGTGCCCCTAAATGAAACGTTAACCTACCGCATCAGGTCCATTTAACGAGCTCAAACAAAGGATAGAGCAAAGTTGGCAGCTGGTTTCGGTGGCAGCGTGAAGTGACTTTTAATAAACCGAGTGCTCCAACGACTCGGTCGAGACTTACTTAAAGAAGAAGACGGAAGAAGAGGACGACACCCTTCTTCCTCGACGGTTGTTGCCAACGGATCGGGGAGGGCTAGTCGCGGCAGCGCGAGCCGGAAAATGGAAAGCTAGGGCTGCTCAGGGTAAGAGGGGCGCAGGAACCGTATCCCTTTGTTCTTGGCGGGTGTTTTGTTTCAGGATTACGAGCTTATGAAGTATTCGCGTTTATCTGTGGCAACTACATGACCGTGGGCTGGAAGGGGAGGGGTTGGCGTAGAGCGGACAAACTGGAGCGAGACAACTAAAAGCGGGACTGCTGTCTGTTAATCTGCGAGCCGTGCTGCTGATTTCGAATTAATTATCGCGTTAAACTGCTGCTCGCGTTTAATTCCTATCTGTACCTCTGCCAGCACCGTCCTACATGGAACACGCCATTTCGTTGATTTTTATCGTTCGCTGAACGTTGCAGGATATTTGGGAAGGCAGGAATTACATCATTATCTAAATATTAGGTGTAGAAATTAATTCTGTGTCTTTATATTCGATCATTTATTCTTCTGCTGATAGTGATTCATATTTTGAAGGAAATAAATGAGCCACAATTACTTATTCTTTATTTCATAATTTATAGCGTACTCGGCTTAATATCTGATATTGTTTATCATACTAAATCCGTCAAGTTCGAAAATAAAAATCAATATTTTCTTTTAAAAAGTAATTATTGTGATACATTTTCGTTTGGTACACACATAATGTACGTACCTATTTTGAACTTTATAGTACATTAATATATATACTTTATTTTAAGAATATAAATTGATCCGTTTAACAGTCAAATAATAAACTGTTAATAAACTAGCAATACAAATCAACAATAGTTGTCAACTATTCGTTCCATTTACGTATTATATATTTCAATGTTGTTCATACCCGAAAAACAGTAAAAATATTGAAAGACACACAATTACGACGATGAAATAAGGATACCAAAATTTCTTGCTGCTGCTCGGCAGACTACAGTAATTTTAACTGCTAGCTTCGGCTATTGTTTAATTAAACGCCACTCCGAAGACGCGTCCTATAAATTATTCGCAGTGTAACTAATGATACGGTTAAAGGAACTACGCGAAAATGAAGAAAACCACATGAATACGACGAAAACCATGTCGCCGAAATTCCGCGTTCACCATCCTAATCTTGAATGCGGGTACTGCATACTTTCTAATTAAATGTCTCCTGTTCAGAGTATGCTGTTTTTAATTACATTTAATTATATCCATTTGCCCTGTGTACTTGCTGACCACGATCTTGTTTCACAGACAATTTTTTACTATAACTCACTTTTTTAAATAATGCAATTCTTGTAAGGTACAACTACTTATAAATATTTGCTTCATCCTTTCTCAATTTATTATTTTTGGTATAAGATTTTAAAATTCATATGCCGTTACAAAATTTCTTAGGAAATTGTATTATATAAAATATGCAATTGTTACTAAACATTGTTTGTTTTATTTGCGTTAAGGAATAATTAAATCTTGTTATAACGTATTAATATTATGTAATTATTTTCAAACAATTTTCACTGACAAAGTCCTCTCCCTTGTAAATAGTTTTCTGGCACGCAAGCTTGAAAAACACTGTTACTATTCAGAGAGGGTGTATATATAGTGTAATGAGAGCGAAAGGGTTCATTTGACTCCGATAAAAATGCATCGTCGTAGAAAAGAGGTTAATAATAAATTTAATTATAGACGCACGAAATGGGGCGATTAACTCTTACCTTATTTTCGAGACCACTGTGGGGGTGAATTCTAGCAGAGGGAATCCTAACTCCTGGGGCCTGACATCCTCCAAGCTACTGTACTTGACGTAGGTACAGGATGGTACAGGAATATCTGGAAGTAAATATAGAAACAATGTCGATCAATATACGGTAAAAATAACATGTACATTGCGTCCGTAGAACTAGTTTATACGGAAGGGTTCTGATGCTCGTGTATTGAATATTATGTGATACTTATATTAACCTATCGTTTATACTTCAAGTATCTACACTGTCCCAGTTGATGATCATCTGTTTTTTTTTTTTTTTTTAAGCGTGAGATAAACGTGTATAGTACAATATTTTAGAGAAAATTATAATTATAAATATTTTAAACAATAGGTAAAGAAAGTGATACAGGAATTGTTGGATTTTTCTTTCTATATAAAGATATTCATGCACGTAAAATACTATATGCCACATAAAACAATGAGAATCAGAGTAGGAGTAATTAATATTCTTCAATTGCAATTGGACAAATTTTGTAAAAATATCGAAATTATTCCTCAGTGTTCCACCTCCACTCCAAAATACATAGAAACGCGAGCTTTTCAATTGCATGACCCTTCTCATCAGCTGTGTTTTAAAAAATTAATCCCGTCCTATAGGTACGTGCGTGCACGTGAATACTAACTAGTTACATTCGACGTAAAGCAATGAGAACCAGAGCAGCGGTAATTCATATCCTAGAATTGCAATTGGAAAAATTCCCTTCGCGATTTTTAACATCACTTGAGTGACGTAATTCGGACCAAACATTCAAAGAGTGATAAAAGCAAAGCAATTTCCGTGCATTCGGATTTAAATCAAAACTGCCCGCGATTTCGTTCTTTCAAATCCACTTTCTATCACGTGAGTTTTTAATATCGTGTCACTCAACAGGTCGCGCCATTGGTACGTTCAAGAATACGTATCGTGTCCAAGCGAAATTCGATTTTTTTGGCGTTGTAACGATCCTGGGCGCAATTCACGCCGACTAATTTCGTATTTGAACCGTGTTCCACGGTATGAAACGATCATCACCGTTTTGGACTTCAGTCGGTAGCGGTAGACTGGCTTTGTTCCCTCGCGGAGCGGCATGAAATGGTGAAAGGGTGGCGCTCGAATAACGAGCCGACAGCGTTAACGTCGAAAAATCAATAGGGCTGCGTGCAGTCCTCATAAATAAATATGAATATCGAGAACCTTCCGGTCCTGTATCGTACGTAAATTTATTATAAAAACGACCGCCGAATGTAAATAATCGAAGAAATCTATTCAACCAAAGGGTGGATGGACAATTTCGATGCCTGACGAGCGTTCAAAAGTAATTTATGATCTGAACTATAATTAGTTATTCTACCTAGATGCGTACAAATTTCCAAAGTTCGACAACAGAATAATATCATGGAAATTCTGCAAGAGATCTGTGAATTAATTCCCGAAAGAAAGTAACACAGCTATCTCAAGTACAATCTAGAGTAGGATAAAAAGTTAGAAAGAACTCTCCACTAACAATACAGTATCAAATTTATCATGCAGATCCGCAAGCTTACGAAGAAGAGGTTGAGGCAAAAAACAGAAGATTCCTGTACAAAGCTCCCTTGGCTTCAAGTTTTCGAAGAGAAACCTCCCTATTCCGCGGAACCAAGTGCAATATAGAGTTACCACGGCGAAAAAGAGAATTACCGAGCTCCAAAGGAGTGAAGAATACTTTCTTCACCTGCAATACTTAATACTTTCTTCGATGCACTGCCATGGTTACAAAGTAGAATCTAAATTCGCATTTTCCTTCCTCGGAAAGATGGAACTGGTAAAGGAATATAAGGTTACAAATGAAAGGTTCTTTTTCACTTTTTGCAGTAGAATTATCTCGTAATTATACAAAGAAGACCATACGTGGTTTAATATAAGTGAACTAGCCTCGTTATATCCTTTATGTTACGTTAAGAGGTCGTAGGTGTTCTAGAAATATCTTTGATGTATCTAATAATTTTTTTTTTGAGAGAGAATCAAAGGACTTCCTCGAGGTTTGAAAATAATATAATATTTAAGAGTTGTATTTAGCCCATCATTGGTCAAGTGAATTTCCAACTTTCTAAGCATATTTATTTTTTGAACAAAATATTGTAATATGTATAAGAATAGACATACAGTTAATCTAAACAAATTTCTTCAATAGACATGAAGAATACCAATAATTGTGGTACTGACTGTAAATACAAAAGTATATAAAACACCAACAATAATATACATTGTATATCGTTTAAAAATTGAAACATACTTCTATTTAAGTTCCTAATTCTTTTCTGTATCTATGAAAATATAAATTTCTCTCTACCCCTTATACATATAGTCACCCCTGTACTCATAACTCAATAATGTATTCGTTACTCGAAATTTTGTATTCAGCTGAGAATTTTGGCCAAGACTAATTTGCGATCACTGTTCGAGTCGAAGAGTCTCGAAGACATCTGAAACATCTTCGACCATCGAGGATATACCAACTGCAGACAGCTTGCTTTAAAAGGTGAAATGGCTTCCCAGCCTTCAGCCGGTCGCAGCATCCGGTAAGTGAGGTGAATTTGTCCTGTTTTAAGCTCAGCCGACGAAAGAACAGCCGATGGGCGGCGGCGTGGTATGTGCCAGACGTCCAAAAAAAGACAGAAAACGTCAAATTCTCAATGAACCTGACTCGCAGCGGGCGTGAAAGAACCTCATCGATTTTACAATCTCCGCGCCTCCTCCTCTCTCACCTTTACAGACTATTACCCCTTCCGCGCCACCACCTGATAACTTCGTGTCCCGAAATTTTCTCTCTCTTTCCGACCGTCGTCTATTCCTGACTCCTCTCCCGCTTTCCAGCGCTTTTCCACTGTACCTCTTCGTTTTTTTTTTCGGGGGCAGTGTTACGTTCTGCTGATTCACAGTTAATGAGGCGAGAACGGGCTACCCTGCATAAACCGAGAGCCGTTCGTAAATTGTTAAAAAATTCAGCTATATATATATATTTCTTGGATTATAGAAAATTCCAACTCGTCTCGAGGGCGAAATTGAAGCGTTCCGGAAAATGATGCGCGCGTATGTAACTAGGTCCTGCTACACAACATTAAAAAACGACAGCAATTAATCGATATAAAAGGATATTAGCGACCAGCAATCCTCGAAGCTAGAAGGGCGTGTAACTTAATGGAGATATATAATAAACCTATTGTCCCGTTTTTTTAAATTCCTTTTTAATTAAAAAAAAGGACGTTTTACTTTCATTTCAATCTTTTTAACGTAAGCTTTGTTGTAGTATTATGTCGTAGCAGACTCTTTCCAAATACGTGTCACAAAGATGAGAGAATTAAATTGGATCTCTTGGATTCCTCCAATATTCATGATTGCGGATTTTTGTATATTTATAGTAAATTTGAATGCGCAATGAAATACAACATGCCCACAGTATGCAGAAATATAAAGAAAGATCCAAAATTCGTAGTATAATATCTGAAAAGTAAAATAAGTTCCTAGTTAGATACAATATTTTTAAATACATTTCCAAAAATTTCATTTTACATAATGATCCGCAATCTAATAACTAAACTACGGATATTTATTCAAATTTCTCAAAATCTCGAAAGAATATTATTCTCATAAATATAAAAATCTTCTTCCTCATTCTTTCTATCTAATTTCACTTTTAGTTCCACCGAGACGCACCCAGAAGTAAAATTAATTCAAAGTAGAGCGTAGCGAATATATCTTAACCCTAATGAATCTTACTAAACAGCTGGATTCTTGCGCGCGTACATAAAAATGTGATAAACGATAGTTGATACTACTTCCCGCTATGCGTGAAGCAACGTAACTTCATTAAACGCGAATGAAAAATATGGCTGCTGCGCGCTGAAAAATTAAAAATGTCCTACGGCGCGACGAGCACATCATTTCACGTCCCGCCCTGTTCAAACGCATTTTAACATTCTCTCGAGCCCTTTAGGTGACGAAGAAGACTTATCTCAGAAGACTTATCTTGGAATGGACTGTATTTCCCAGTGGCACTGTCGAAACTAAACATCGTTAGGCCAAAGCTTATCGTAAAACACCGCTAACATTCATATTAGCACAAGTTCTTCTTCATTCGATATCAATGATCAGAGGTATCGAGTTTACCATTGAACGGAATCTAGTATCTAATATTTACAGTGTTTTCCGGGAGCTTTCGCAGGATTCTGATAGATCTTTACGGCGCGCGGCGGCGCCGCTATTGACTCAGAGATCTGGCTGCTACTCGTGTGTTTATATGCACATCTGTCTATTTATTCATCAATTCACGTGCACCTGCCTGTTTACGTATTTACTTCTCATTAATCTTTCACAGTTGGTGCTCGTTTTCTATTTGACTTCTGCTGCTGCTTATCTTTCGGTTTAAGTCCTTCAAAATCACCGCGCAAATTCACTTCCCAATACCACGCTCTATACAAGGTGTTTTGTAAATGTAGCTACACATAACATGGTAGATAGAGGAAGACAAGAGGAAATGGCAACATCTTCACAGATTGCGGTAATTATATGGCTTGTACAAAGTATCTATTGTTCGTAATGTTCTCAGTTTATTAATTCTTAATATTTTTTAACTATTACAGGCTCAAGCAATATTGATACTGATACTAATGAAGATTATTCTTCACTTTTCATTTCAAATAAGCATGAACATACTTTTTCAAAAGAGACTACATGTATATAAGATCACTCGTTTAATTTCAATTATTTTCAATGAAAATAAATTATGTATATCCTTAAAATATGAATAGATACACAGTCGATCTCGTAAATATTCGTAGCCTCTATATCTATTGAAAAGATAAATATATATGAATAAGCTTATAGATGTATATATTTGTATATACATCAACATATTTATACAAACATACACTTGGTAACATCAAACTTAACATTCAATTTAAACAAATTTCTTCAGTAGACATAGAAGGTACGAATATTCATAGGAATATATATATTTACTGTATATATTTTCCCCATTAAAAAAAATCCTTATGGATTTAAAAAAGAAATATAACCAGACTAAAGATGTACAAATTGACACCC